TGGGGTTTTTTTTTTTTTTTTTTTTTTTTTTTTTTTTTTTAGGGTTTAGGGCTTCGGGTTTAGGGTTTCTGGGACACGGTGTGCAAGACATGTCCAGGCCATAGCCGTATTTTCAGACATTTCTAGGCAGTTTCTGGGAGACGGTGTGCAGGCCATGTTTGGGACGCGTCCTGGCCACAGACGCAATCTAATTTTTAGGCATTTCTAGGCAATTTATGGGCACGGTGTGCAAGCCATGTCCAATAGGTGTCCTGGCCATGGACACAATCTAATTTTCTGGCATTTCTAGGCAGTTTGTGGGCACGATGTGTAGGCAATGTTCGGGAAGCGTCGTGACCATGTTAGGGGCGTAAGTAAATTTTCAACCAAATGAAGGAAGCACGGTGTGCTGCCATTTTAGGGGCATAGGAATGTTCCGAGGCATTTTGGGCAGTTTTTGGGACACGATGTGCATGCCAAATTCGGGATAAGTCATGGCCATGGAAGGGACGCAGCTTGATTTTCAAGCATTTTTCGACAGTTTTTGGGCATTGTGTGCAGGCCATGTCCAAGACGCATCCTGGATGTGATAGGGACGAAGCCTGATTTTTAGGCATTTCTAGGCAGTTTCTAGGTCACTTTGTGCGGGCCATGTTCAGGACACATCCGAGCCACGATAGGGACAGAACTTGATTTTCAGGCATTTAAGGGCAGTTTTTGGGCATGGTGTGCAGACCATGTTTGAGAAGAGTCTTGATCATGGCAGGAACGCAACCTCATTTTTAGGCATTTCTAGGCAGTTTCTGAGGCACAGTGTGCAGGCAATGTCTAAGATGTGGCAGGGATGCAGCCTGATTTTCATGCATTTTTAGGCAATTTCTAGGACGCAGTATGCAGGCCATGTCCTGGCCGCAGTAGGGACGCAGCCTGATTTTCAGGCATTTCTAGGCAGTTTCTAGGTCACAGTGTGTAAGCCATGTCCAAGTTGCGGTAGGGACGTAGCCTGATTTTTCGGTATTTCTAGGCTGTAACGCCTCGACCCCTTGTGGACCGGAATGCTACTTACTTTACTTAACTAACCGATGGTTTAGTCATAGGAGAATATGTTTTAGCGAAAGCTTAATTTTTACAATGATAATTTTAACAACAACCTTTCAAATACTTTAAATAAAACACTAAATAAAAAAATAACGGAACGTAATTTATTTGAAGAAAAAACAACTTGTTCTCGCGTTCAGCATTATTCAAAATACTTTAAAGAAATAACATTGAAAACGTTCACAAAAATAAATCTAAATAACTTGTTCACCGGGTTTTCCATGGGCTCGTTGCACCACTCTCCATCTTTTCCATCATCCAGGCTCAAGGTAGAATCATATCGATTTGTAGAGAAGGGGCTAAACCCGTGAGTTAAAAAAACTCAATAGATATCATTGGTGCGTTCGTGATCAAGCTGTACATTTCAAAGCTGTAACTTTAAAAACCTTTTCATAGTAGGATTTTAGATAGAATCCCAAACACGTAGAGTCATGACTTAACACGATGCCTCGACCGGAAGTACATGTCGTACCCGAAGGTACCATTAGATAAGGAGGTGTATGCCGTACCGGAGGTACCATTTGACATACAAACATTAACATAAATCTTCATTTGCTAGAAACTTATAACTTAACACGAATTAACACTTTGCACCTCTACCTACCTTGATTGATTCTTTGAACCTTGTTGAAAAATGCACTCCTTTGACGTTTCAAAAAAAAACTCCGTTGAGAATTGATGCTTGGAAAACACTTCTTGATAGCACCAAAACTTCGAGGAAAAACTTCATTTCTTTTTTTTCTAGACTTGAAAACTCTCTCTTTTATGCTTAGGAGCTTTTGTCTTGGTGTAAAAAATGTGTATGCATTGGGGCCTATTTATAGGTGAAAATCTCACAACTTAAGGGAAAATGAAGGGCCTCATACTCATTAATATGGGCGCCATTTATGTGGGAGTTATAGGTTTAAGAAGGTGCTAGAAAATCGTGTAGGAATTTGACTTTTCATATTCTGCGTACTTCAGTTGATATTGTAAAGCCTTTAGTATTTCTATCATAACTTCTTCTCCCAATATCCAATTGAAGTAATTCAAAGTGTGTTGGAAAGCTAACTCAAAGATCTACAACTTTTTTTTAGATATCATTTCCCAAATCGAATGTTTCCTATGTCGTAAATGGGTGTCAAATGAGATAAAAAATCTGAAGAATACATTAGCCATCCAATATTCATGTCTTAGTGCTACTAAGGTGTTTAAAATTATTTAGGGTTCTACATAGGTAGTTTTTTGGTGCACGGTGTGTAGGAAATGTCCGAGACGCGTCTAGGTCGCGGTAGGGATGCAACCTAATTTCAAGGCATTTTTAGGTAGTTTTTGGAACACAGTGTGCAAGCCACGTCCATGACGCGTCAGGAACACAACTTGGTTTTTAGGTATTTCTTGGCAGTTTTCTGGGACACGGTGTGCAAGCCATGAACGGGACGCCTTTGGGCGATGGCAGGGACGCAGCCTGATTTTCAGGGATTTTTGGGAAATTTTTGAGCACGGTGTGCAGGCCATGTATGGGACACGTCTTGACCGCGGTAGGAACGTCGCCAGATTTTTAAGCATTTGTATGCAGTTTGTGGGCGTAGTGTGCAGGCTATATCCAGGACGCGTTCTTGCCGCGGTAGGGAGCATCCCGATTTTTGGGCATTTCTTGACATTTTCTGGGACTCGATGTCCAGGCCATGTTCGGGACGCGTCATGGCCACAGTAGGGATGGAGCCTGATTTTCAAGCAATTCTGGGCAGCTTCTGGGACACGGCGTGCAAGGCATGTCCAGGATGCAGCAGGGACGCATCCTGACTTTGAGGTATTTTTAGGCTGTTTCTGGAACATAGTGTGTAGGTAATGTTCAGGATGCGTCTGGGCCACGACAGGGATGCAGTCTGGTTTCCAGGCGTTTCTAGGTAGTTTCTGGGACACGGTGTGTAGGCCATGTCCAGGATACTGTAGGGACACATCCTGATTTTCATGTATTTCTAGGCAATTTCTTGGACACGGTGAGCAGGAAATTTTCGAGACGCGTCGGGGCTGCTGCAGGGATGCAGCCTAATTTCCAGGCATTTTTGGCAGTTTCTAGGACATGGTGTGCAGGCCATGTCCAGGACGCGACTGGGATGTAGCATGATTTACTAGCATTTCTAAGCAGTTTCTGGGATACGGTGTGCAAGCCTTGACCGAGACGCGACCGTGCCACGTCAGGGACGCAGCTTGATTTTCAGGCATTTCTAGGAATTTTTTAGGCACGGTGTGTAGGCCACGTCCGGGGCGCGTCCTGACTGCAGTAGGGATGCATCCTGATTTTCAGGTATTTGTAGGCAGTTTGTGGGCACGGTGTGTAGGCCATGTCCGGGACGTATCCTGGCCTCAGTTGGAACGCAGCCTAATTTTTAGGCATTTCTTGGCAATTTCTAGGACTCGGAGTGCAGGCCATGTTCGGGATGTCTCATGGCCACGGTAGGGACAAAGCCTAATTTTCTAGCGATTTTGGGTAGTTTCTGGGATGTAGTGTGCTGGCCATGTCCAAGATGTGGCAAGAACGCATCCTGAATTTTAGGTATTTTTAGGTAGTTTCTTGAACACGGTGTGCAGGCAATGTTTGGGACGCATCTGGGCTGTGGCAAGGATGCAACCTAGTTTCTAGGCATTTCTAGGCAATTTTTGGGACACGGCATGCAGGCCATGTCCAGGATGCTGCAGGCACACATCTAGATTTTCACGTATTTCTAGGCAATTTCTTAGACACAATGTGCAGGAAATTTTCGAGACGCATCGGTGCTGCTACAGGGATGTAGCCTAATTTTCAGGCATTTATAGGCAGTTTCTGGGACATGGTGTACAGGCCATGACAGGGATGCGTCCGGGCCACGGCAGGGACGCAGCTTGATTTTCAGGCATTTCTGGGAAGTTTTTGGGCACAGTGTGCAGGCCACGTTCGGGATGCGTCGTGGCCAAGGTAGGGTTGGAGCTTGATTTTCAGGCAATTCTGGGCAGTTTCTAGGACACGGTGTGCAGGCCATGTCCAGGATGCCACGGACGCATCCAAACTTTCAGGTATTTTTAGGAAGTTTCTAGAACACGGTGTTCAGGCAATGTTCGGGACACGTCTGGGCCACGGTAGGGATGCAGTCTAGTTTCTAGGCAGTTTCTGGGACACGGTGTGTAGGCCATGTCGAAGATGCTTCAGGGACACACAATGATTTTCACGTATTTCTAGGCAATTTTTTGCATACGATGTGCAGGCCTTGTCCAGGACGCGTCCTGGCTAGGACAGGGACACAGCCTGATTTTCAGGCATTTCTGAGAAGTTTTTGGGCACCGTGTGCAGGCCATATCCTAGAAGCAGCCTGAACAAACACCCTATATTTATAAGGTCCAAAATAAAAGTTATAATTGGAATAAAATAGATCTTTTAAACTAAATAAGACTTATATATGTATCATTATAGTACTAAATAATTAGAAATAATTTTCTTATTATTTTACAACACTCCCTATTTGGTGATTATTTGTACAATAACCATCTCATTGAAACCATGTTTGACAAAAAAATCCTATGGGACAAAAATGCCAACAAATTAAAAAAGAGACAAATAAATTGGAGTAATAAAATGATGTTTCGTTAAAACATTGTCAAGAAAATCTCGTGAGATAAAACTTGATCGAAGGAAAAAGGGTAAAGTTACTCCCCTGATTTTAATTATTATATCAAGTTATTCATGTCTCGTACATCAATGTCTTCAATATTACAATTTCTGGTGAAGCATCGCGTTGTCTTGCATAGTCTTTAAATAACACTGTCTTTATAAGAGCTATTTTATCAATATTTGATAACTGTAGTGATATGATAATTTAAAAAAATAGCTCTTGTTGATAGTCAAATAGGGGCTTAAATAGAATAATTTTTTAATAAATATTTCTTCTTGTTAGAAGATCATCTTACAGGAACTTCCCCCAAAAAAAAAGATTCAATATGATTTTCTCAAAAAGCTCTTTTTAGAAGAATCAGAAGTAAAAGTCGAAGCAGAAATTATCCCAAATATATCCTAACCCGGTTAGTTAAAACTACGGTAGTGTTCCGTGATCATTAAACCTCGAAGGATTGTCGATATGGCACTTTATTTGATTGAAATTTTATTATGAATTCGGTGACTAATCAAAAATAAAAATCGTAAAAATTAATTATTATGAATGCTTGATAGGTTAGTTTTATCCTACTGATGATAGTGTCGCAATAGTAATTTAACCTAGTACGAGAGGAACCATTGATTCGCACAATTGGTCATCACACCGTGCCCAAAATCTCCCAAAAATACCTGAAAATCAGGCTGTATCCTTGCCAGGCTAGGATGCGTCCTGGAACCGGGCCTAGAAATTACCCGAAATGACCTGAAAATTAGGCTCTATCCCTGCCATGGCCCAGACACGTCTTGGACATGACCTGCACACTGTGACCCAAAAACTAACGAGAAATGCTTGATTTTTAGGCCTTTTGGGCAATTTCTGGGCACAATGTACAGGCCATGTCTGGGATGTGTTCTGGCTACGACAGGGACACAACCTGATTTCTAGTCATTTCTAGGCAGTTTTTGGGATACGGTGTGCAGGCTACATCTAGGACGCATCAGGGATATAGCCTGATTTTCCAAAATTTCTAAGCAGTTTCTAGGACACAGTGTGTAGGCCATGTCTGGGACGTATGTGAGGGATACTGGCATACATAGGTAGTACCTATACCCATCCCAGGCATGCTAAGGGACATCTCATGCACCTGAATTTAGTACAGCAACTATTGGACGTCGTACGCACATGAAGAGAGCAACTAAGGCACAATGCAAGAATGCGACCGGGGGGGGCATATCACAAGCACACAAAAGCACATCGCAGTCATACCAAGGCGACATATCGGGGTACCCAAACTTAAGATCATATATTTTATGTCCACTGCACCAACTTTAGAGCGTAGAGGCTCCCAACTTGCTTCATTTGCTATGCATTACTGTACATGGGTTTTCATCCTTCCACACTTAGGCATTGAAAAGAAAAGTTGTTTCAAGGACCATGGGCATTTTAGCCTCAAAGTATTCCCAAATAAAGGAAATTTTGATTGGGAGGAATGGAAGGGGAGGGACGAATTGGAGCAACAAAGGGCTGAATCTCAGCGGATCGTGGCAGCAATGTCACTCTATCACTAATAGTACCCAATCGCATATTTAAGTCATCTGCAAAGGATTCTACCCATCGCTCGATCGAAATTGTACTTCAAGGCGGTCGATGTAGCACGTCCACTGTAAGAGCTTAGCTAATGACATGTAGCCCTAGGGGCCGTAAGGCCCCTACTGTGGGTTAGCAAGCGGTCGACGGGTGTACGCATCGACTCTAGCCTGAATTTTGACTTAGAGTCGTTCAGTCATAATCTAGCATTCGGTAGCTTCACGCTGTTCAAACCACTTCCTAGATGCAGCCTGATTTTCAAGCATTTCTTCTTAGTTCCTGGGTCAAGGTATGCAGGCCATGTCTGAGATGTATCCTGGCCAGGGCAGGGATGGAGCCTGATTTTTTGGTAATTTTAGGCAGCTTCTGGGCACGATGTATCGGCCATGTTCGGGACGCCTCCTGGCTTGGTAGGAACGCAACCTGATTTTCAGGCATTTCTAGGCAGTTTGTGGGTACGGTGTGCTGGCCAAGTTCGGGATGCATCCTGACCGCGACAGGGGCGCCGACTAATTTTCAGGCATGTCTAGTCAATTTTTGGGACCCGGTGTGCAGGCCAAGTCCGGGACGCGTCATGGCCACGGCAAGGATGCCGCCTGATTTTCTCTATCATTGTGTGATTTTATTAGACTGGCGTTACAGATTTTGTAGTCTTCCTCATTCACTTCCAGCACTGAATGAGTCTTGGAATTATGCTTTAGAACTAAAAAATCCCCAATCTGAAAATGAGTTTTCTTAGCCCATTTGTTGAACTCGTCAATAGAAGATGGAACTGCCCATAAATTATTTTCACAGCCCACTACGAACTCTCTTGCTTCAAAAAGAACACACAGGAAAAACATGACGGTCGAAAATAAGAAACTATTTTTTAGTGAAGCAAATTTAACACGGTGTGCAGGCAATGTCCGGGATGCATCTAGGCCGCGGTAGGGATGCAACCTGATTTCCAGGCATTTCTAGGCAATTTTTGGGATACGATGTGCAGGTCTTGTCCAGGACGAGTCAAGGACACAATCGAATTTTCAGGTATTTCTAGGCAACTTCTGGGACATGGTGTGTAGGCCATGACCAAGATGCGTCTGGCCGCAACAGGGATGTTACCTGATTTTCAGGCATTTTTGGGAAGTTTTTGGGCACGGTGTGCAAGCCACTTCCTGGACGCGCCCTAGCTATGGTAGGGACGTAGCCTCATTTCCAAGCATTTGTAGGCAATTTTCGGCACTCGATATGCAGTCCATGTTCGGGCATCGTCTGGGCCGCAGTCGGCATGCAACCTAGTTTCCAGGTATTTCTAGGCAATTTCGGGGGCACGGTGTGCAGGCCATGTCCAGGATGCTACAGGAACATATACTAATTTTCACGTATTTCTACGCATTTTCTTGGACATGGTGTGCAGGCAATGTTTGGGATGCGTCCAGGCTACTGCAAGGGTGCAACCTGATTTCCAGGCATTTGTGGGTTGTTTCTGGGACACGGTGTACAGGCCATGTCCAGGATGTGGTAGGGACGTAGCCTGATTTTCAAGCATTTTTAGGCAGTTTCTGGGATACGGTGTTCAGACTACGTCCGGGGTGCATCCGGGCCACGACGAGGTCACAGTTTGATTTTCAAGCTTTTTTGAGAAGTTTTTGGGCACGGTGTGGAAGCCTTGTCCTAGACACAGCCCGATTTTCAGGCATTTCTCGTTAGTTTCTGGGTCATGATATGCAGGTCATGTCAAGGATGCGTTAGGGCCATGACAGGAACGGAGCTTAATTTTCAGGTAATTCTTGACAGTTTCTAGGGACAGTGTATAGGCCATGTCCAGGATGCCTCTTGGCCAGGGAGGGATGTAGCCTGATTTTCAGGCATTTCTAGGCAGTTTGTGGACACGGTATGTTGGCCAAGTTCGGGACGTATCCTGGCCGCGACAAAGACGCAGCCTGATTTGCAGGCTTTTCTAGGCAATTTCTGGGACTTGGTGTGCAGGCCATGTTCGGGATGCGTCATGGCCACGGCGGCAGGGACGTAGTCTAATTTTTAGGCATTTCTAGGCAGATTTTGGGTCATAGGGTTTAGGGTTTTTCTTCAATTAATTTTGAATTAAAAGAGGAAGTATATATGTGAAAAAGAATAATAAAAATAAAATGTAGCTTAACATTACAACCCGTGAATAATAGAATTAGTCTACACAACGAAACCAAACTTCCCACCGTCATAGTGCCACAAATAAACCCCACCGCCACCTTTAGACCAGTACCACCGTTAGTCGCGGCTGGCGTTGGTGCATGGTAGTGGTGATGGTGATGATGAGGAGAAGGTGCCTGAGCTGTAGATTGGTTGCTGGAGCATATTTATCGGACATAATCATAACCTCTAGCTTTTGACCCTTCTGGCAATGTTCTTCAGCTCCACTGATGAAGAAAAATAGACCTAATTTTTCTAGTGAAATTATAATTTCTCCATCATGGTGTGATTTTATTGGATTGGCATTGTTGCAGATTTTGTAGTCTTCCTAGATCACTTCCAGCACTGAATCAGTCTTGGAATCATACTTCAGAACTAAAGAATCCCCAATCCAAAAATGAGTTTTCTCAACCCATTTATTGAACTCGTCAACAGAAGATGGAACTGTCCATAAATTATTTTCACCCTCTATTACAAACTCTCTTGCTTCAGAACGAACACACAACAAAAACACGATGGTCGAAAATAAAAAAAATAATTTTGAGTGAAGCCATTTTAACACGGTGTGTAGGCAATGTTCGGGACGCGTCAGGGCCACGGCAGGGATGCAACCTGATTTTCGGGCATTTCTAGGCAGTTTCTTGGACACAGTGTGCAGGCCATGTCCAGGACACGTCAGGGACACAGCCTGATTTTAAGGCATTTCTAGGCAATTTTGGGGATACAATGTACAGGCCATGACCAGGATGCGTCCGGGCCACGGCAGGGACTCAGCCTAATTTTCAGGCATTTTTGGCCATGGTGTGCAGGCCACATTTGGGATGCCTCCTAGCCGCGATAGGGACCTAGCCTGATTTTCAGGCATTTGTAGGCAATTTGTGGGTACGGTGTGCCAGCCATGTCTGGGACGCGTCCTGGCCGTGACAGGCACGCAGCTAGATTTTTAGGCATTTCTTGGCAAATTTTGGGACTCGGTGTGCAGTCCATGTCTAGGATGCGTCATGGCCATGGTAGGGACGAAGCCTGATTTTCAAGCAATTTTAGGCAGTTTCTGGGACACCGTGTACAGGCCTTGTCTAGGATGCAACAGGGACGTATCCTGACTTTCAGGTATTTCTAGGTAGTTTCTGGAACACGGTGTGCGAGCGATGTCCAGGATGCATCTAGGCCGCGGTAGGGATGCAGCCTAGTTTTCGGGCATTTCTAGGCAATTTCTGGGACATGGTGTGCAGGCCATGTCTAGAATGTTGCAGGGACACATCCTGATTTTCACGTATTTCTATGCAATATCTTAGATACGGTGTATAGGTAATTTCTGGGACTCATTGGGGCTATTGCATGGATACAGCCTGATTTCCAGGCATTTGTAGGCAGTTTCTGGGACACGGTGTGTAGGCCATGTCAAGGACGCATCATACCATTTTGACTCGACTGCTGAGAAACTTGAACATAAAAATATAATAGATTATTAATATATTATTGGATGATAGCAAAAAAGTCATAATAATTAGCAACATCATCGCTAAGACATACAATGAACCCTCAACAAATTCAAGAAAGAAATGAATTAGCATTCCCATGACTATTTATAGTTTTTTTTCTTTCTTTTTTTTTTAAATATTTAGCTAAAAAGTTACTTAAAACTAACTTCTTCTGCTTCCAAAAATAAAGTCTAGCCAAACTATAATTTTTTTTAACTAAAACATAAAATGGAAAATAGATACTTACTGTGTTGAAAAGCAATGACAATAGTTGAAATCCCAGTAGGAAATGTGTCCTCATTTCTTATTGGTGGCTGGTGAATCAAAGCTCCTTCTTGAGCTGGAAATATAATATCATTTCAAGTTAATTTGAATGTTATATTTTATACAACATTTAAAAAATAGAATACGAATATATTTTACTGAATAAAAAAATCCATGAAATAATTTATCATAATTTTAAATCAAATCTAATCTTCTATTTTAAGAAATAGTATTTCAGAATGAAAAACCAAAATCATTTTTTATTTTAAACTTAAAATTGAAAATTCAAAGAGGAAACAGAATTAGCCCATGCTTAGTTCTCGGTTTCTGAATGTTGGAAATTAAACATGATTCATGAATAATGAAAAAAATTAAATTTGATACATGAATTAGTTTATTTAATATTCATGCATCTATTTAAATCATGTATCCAAATGATTCTTTGTATCATATTATTCATAGTATGTAGGAAAAGTCATTAATTAGTCTATTAAGTTCATACAATGTATTTGGGATCCTTTGTACCTATAAAAGGCCTTGTGTTTGAGACATTTTATAAAGCCAAGCCATGGAATACAAATATTTTTTGAGAATTCTGTGAACTTTTCTATCTAGTCTTTAGGGTTATGGGTTTAGGGTTTGGTTTTCTTTTTTTTTTTTGGCAAATACCACAAGTGTGGCTTATTTTATAATATAGGAAATGCCAATACACATAAAGGAGGGCGACATAAACTTGAACTCCTATAAGTGAGAAAAATTACAAATGTCTCAAATGAAGCGCAAATGATATTAAATGAAATGTGTCTAAAAAACTAGTGAATAATACTCAAGGGTATTCCCGAGGATAAATCTTTGGGTGATAGTGCATAGACATCGATCGTGTCATGCGCCTGGTTTGCAGTTTCTGCGACACAGTGTACAGGCCATGTCCGGGACACGTCTTGGCTGTGGCAGGGACGCAACTTGATTTTCAGGAATTTCTAGGCAGTTTATGGGCACCATGTGCCGGCCACGTTCGGGACTCGTCCTGGCCGCGGTAGTGACACAACCTTATTTTCAAGCATTTTTAGGCAATTTGTGGACACAGTATGCAAGTAATGTTTGGGACGCTTCCCGGCCACGATAGGGATGCAAGAAGATTTTCGACCAAATGAAGGAAGCACGGCGTGCAGGCCATGTCAGGGGCACAAGCACGTTCCCAAGCATTCTGGGAAGTTTTTGGGACACGGTGTACATGCCATATTTGGGATAAGTCATGGCCACGACAGGGATACAACCGAATTTTTAAGCATTTTTCGACAGTTTTAGGCACTGTGTTCAGGCAATGTCTGGGGCGTAGCCTGATTTTTAGGCATTTCAAGGTAGTTTCTGGGTCACGATATGCAGGCCATGTCCAGGACGCGTCCAAGCCACGGAAGGTATGGAGCCTGATTTTCAAACAATTTAGGGCAATTTTTGGGCACGGTGTACAGGCCATGTCCGAGAAGCGTCCTTATCGCGACAGAGACAATTTTTGGGACACGTTGTGCAGCCCATGTCCAGGATGTGGCAGGGATGCAGTCTGATTTTCAAGCATTTCTAGGCTGTTTCTCGGATACTGTGTGCAGGCCACGTCCGGGATGCATCCGGGCCACGACGGGGTTATAGCCTGATTTTCAAGCATTTTTGAGAAGTTTTTGGGCATGGTGTGCAAGCCTTGTCCTAGACGCAGCCTGATTTTCAAGCATTTCTCGTTAGTTTCTAGGTCGCGATGTGCAGGTCATGTCAAGGACGCGTTAGGGCCACGGCAGGGATGGAGCTTGATTTTCAGGTAATTTCGGGTAGTTTTTGGGGACAGTGTATAGGCCATGTCCGGGACGCCTCTTGGCCAGGTAGGGGCGCAACCTGATTTTCAGGCATTTTTAGGCAGTTTGTGGACACGGTGTGATGGT